ATGTCCTCCTGAAACAGCTACTTTCATATAAACATTGAATTACACGAAAGAAAAAAAATTCTTTCGAAACAAATACTTCTATATGAACATATATTTATTATATTTCAGTAGCACACTAATCATTCCTGTTCTGTAATTTTTGAAATACAAATGAACTTTCCGTCAAGCAGTAGTCAAAGTGTGGTTGAAATATAAGACTGAAATGATAAAAATCTACTAATCATTTGATGAAAAACAGTTTTATAGATTAAAGAAGAAAGTAATACAAATCATGAAATTATGAAACAATAAAAATTAATTGGCGCTACGGGGCAACTTCATTGATTCCAGTGGCGTATTTGCTTTTTTAGCTGCAGGAAAACCCGGAAAAACCTGCAGCACCACATTTTTTAGATGAACACTGAAAATATTTTTTGAAACCCAAAAAGTTTTCAATAATTACGCCAAGATACTTAATTTCTTCGATGATCTCTTCATGAATGCTAATATTTACAATTTTCTTATAAATCAAATTATATTTGTTTTGTTGTTAAAATTATATGTGATCAAGTAGATAATAAGAAGTGTCTCGATGTACCTATTTTTTTACCTTGCTGAGCAACAACTTGTTCATTGGTAGACATTCATATATTCTATTGGCTACTACTTTTTCAATAGTTTAGATAAAGGACATATTAAAGAAAATTGTCTATAGTTTTACCAATTAAAAAATTTTCTTCAGAGTGTCAAATTGAAATATGTGGAATTTGGTGTGAAGTTAATGGCTTGAAAGTTATAGTTATCAACATTCATAAATCTCCAAATGGAGATGGTAATCTTTTTTTTTATTGTTCTTTACATACACTAAAACTTGCTGAAATTAAATCTGATAATATCATTTTATGTGGTGAATGATACTAATACCAAATTACTGAAGGATCTGTTCAATTCATTTCAGATGGAATTCAATATGATAGTCCCAAAAAAATCTTCACCATCAACGATCACACTCCCAGTACTAGTATTGATTATATTATAAACTATAAAAAAACAAAGAGTAGATAACGAATAATGAAAAAGATAGTTAGCTAATATAGGATAAAGAAAATAAATTTTGTCTGATTTGTACTACGTTCTTTAGTTTACCTGAAAATGGTTTAACATACCGAAACCGATCGCAACAAATAAAAATCCGACAAGATTTATTTCATTTATTTTTTATTCAATATGAATTTCTACAAAAAAATAGGTCATCAATCGAACAAGATAGTTCAGTTAAATCGGTTCTAGTAAAAAGACGAGTAAATTCGAGCAGCATTGATGAATTAAGAATTAGTCTCAGTACTACAATATGGTTTCCAACATTATATGATGACTGTTCATGATGGATTCTCTTTTTTTAGAGCCCCTCTTTTGATGTTTTGATAACTCAAAAAAAAAAACTGTCGTCAATAAAGTCATGAATAATAACTGGATTTCTGAAGATGTTGCCCAGGAAGCAAAATATCTGAGGGATATGTTCTTTTTTATTAGAACAGACCGATAAGTTGACTCCAGTAATATATCTGTATACAAAACTAGGGAAGACAAGAATAAGGTTGAGCAAAAAAAGATGAGTTACTTTTCCACTAAAATCAACAATGCCAGTAACAAAACTAAAGAAACATGGAATATAATAAACAGCGAGTTGAGGAGAAAAAAATGTTATACTGATAATGTTATCGCTCACTCATGTCTGAGTTGTGGTGTACGTCCTCCTGCTATAACAGACCTTTTTTTCCCATCATTTTGCAAATTCTGTTAAAATTCCTATTTCCACACACTCAGGTCAAAACGCAATATTACCGATTACTGAATACCAGTTGTTAAACAAATATTTGACCTTATTGTAATTATGTATTAATCAACATCGATTTAGGAAAAATTCTTCCATAGAAATCGCAGCCTATGATTAACTCAGTAGCATACTCCGAAGTTGATGCCAATAATTTTGTAATAACTATATTTTTTTGATCTACAAACAGCATTTGACACTGTTTCAATAGATTTTCTATATATAAAGTTAGAGGCTTGGGTTTCTACATAACATACTGCCTTGGTTTAGGAGTTTCTCAGGGATCAGTACTAGGACCTTCATTTTTTGTGGTTTTTATTAATGATGTTGACAATTGTCACATAACTATGTAGATGATACCATAAAGGCCATCACTGGAAGATGTACTAACAAAAGTCAAAGAGGTTACTGGTGGATTTCATGATGTGAACGCAATCATTTAATATTGAATACCTCTAAATCTGCTTCAATGAAGTTTTATAACAGAAAAAATAACATTCCAGGTGGAGTTGCTAATACTGATGAAATAGTGATGTCACATGATGTGGAATTTCTATGTACCATGTTGAATAAATCTCTGAATTGGAAAATTGGGATCTGCATACTGATGGTGTTTTCAAGAAACATAATGCAGCATATTGTTTCTCAAGTATATATTTTGTAATGGCATATCCGCATGGCATATGTCATGGGGATGCGGTAGAAATTTTAATACAATATTTGTTGCCCAAAAACTCTAATTTTTTATATGGATTATCTTGATAGCTGCAAACCTATACTTATATAANTAATTACATCGTCATAGTACACTTAGAATACAATAACATTTTTCCTTTCCATTTTTTTATATTCTCCGAAATAACAATTCCAATCGATAAAAAATGTTTTATTTCTGAATAATCATGTTCGTCAGTGTTACAATGCACCAAGACGAAAATATCTTTCACGACTCTTGTAAGCTCGACCAGCAAAAATGTCAAGTCCTTTACTGAAGTATTCATTGATATCTTCCTCTACTTGAAGAAGGGTACATGGTATGTCTTAAATGTTGGTTTCAAAACACAAAACCATTGAGGTGTCTTGCAGTGAAAGACATTGGAGAAATTACTTTTGGCGGTCAATGTCTAAGCTTGGCTTTGCAGCAGACCGCCTCGGAGAACCTCATTTTTCCTTGATTTTCAGGAATTGAGTCTTCTGTCGTTCCCATAGATGGCGTCTTCGTAGGGGGAGAAGCCATCATCCTTACTTTTGGCTTGTTCGTTTAGGACGGTTCAGTGGTTCAGCCTAGCACCACTGGTGCTAAGTTTCGACCTGATGAGTCAAAGCAGCACTGTCTGGTGTTGGATCACGAATCCATGGGGTTGCCTTGCAGTGAAAGACTGAGGAGCTTGACTTTGCAATCAAAGGTCGATTCAAATTTTTATGCATAAATCACTCAATAAATCTAGCATGACTTTTGAAAT